TTCAAAGAGAAGGAAAAGGAGGTTAACAATCTTTTTGAAATGTAGGTTCAAATTCCCAGCATGGGCCCAGTCAATTACCAGCAAGCGCTGTGACACACATCCACCACTAACGAGGAAGAGGAGGGGAGCACGTGGCGCAGAGGTCCAGGCAGGCAGCGGCAGGGGTTAAAGGACAGCACCACGGTGGTGGGAAAGTTTCCAAGGGCAAAATGTTGGGTTTTTTCAGGCTGATTCATCCCCCTGGGGTGCACCCAGAGTGGAGGCTGGACCACTGGAGGGGATGAAGCTGGGTAGGGTGGCAGCACATCCCCCTGCCCAAACCCCCTTGCAGCTGGCAGGAGCTTTTTTGAAGGATGCATAGCGCCTGCCACAGCAGGCTGCTGCTCTCTCTGGGGTGCTCCTCCATGGCAGAACGAAAAACTTTTATTTTAATGCCATTAATGAAAGGCAGTGCAGGGGTGGGGATGGGACAGGAGGGGAGCGGGCTTGTTCTGGCACTGAGGGATGCGTGCACACAGGCATACAAATGCTAGGGGACAAAGACTGTGGTTAAGGGCCAGTGCTTCGACTCCCTCCTTATTACAGGAAAGGATTTATCTGATGGCCTAGTTTCAGTTCCAATTTTCCTCCTTTCAATCAGGTCCCCAGGTCTGCTCGTCTACTCAAAAAGGGAAGGAAGGGGATGTGTCAGAGGTGATGGGGCAGGAATGATGCTACAGCACTGCCTCTAGAAACATGCGTGGGGCAGAGGGTTTTGCTGCCCCAAAGCTTTCCCAGGAGGTAGATGCCAGGGCAGCCAGAAGGATTATGCCCAGCCACGCAGCATTATTTTCTGGCATGGCAAGCGTGCATCCATGCTTTCCAGCCTGACCAAGCCAGGGTGTGTGGAACAAACGTGCTGGAAATAAAAACCTCCTGCAAAATGGAAAATGTAGAGAGGAGCAGCTATTTTTAAAAGGGACGGCACCTACTGCTGCTATGAAGTTAGTCACATAATCAGTCAGCAAGGGACTTCTGTAGGCTGACAGCTGACAGCCAGGAGAAACAGCTCCAACAGACCGGCGAGAAGAAAAATGGGAGCTTTTGGGTACCATGAGGTGCATCTTTTCAAATAAAGAGAAGAAGGCTGTCCTGTGCTGCCCTGGGCATGAGGTGGATGGGGGGAAGCAATCCTCGATGTCTTTTCCAAGATGCTGAAAAGTGGGGTGAGATGCTGATAACCTTCCAGGAGACAGAGTGCTACAAGCAAACGCCAGCTCAGCCACTTCTTCCCCCCCTAACCCAGCCTATCCTTATTGCCCAGCCTCCGCTGAGGTTTTCTTGCTTCTAAAAATATTCAGCCTCTAATTAAAACGCCCATCTTGCTTGCCAGGGCAAACGTATCCGGCCACAGATCTGAACTGGTCCTGGAGACAGCCAGAGCTTGCAGCTAACCAGCCTGGCTGGTTTTCCTGGCATGGGTGACTCGGGTGATGTCTGACACCAGGGTTTAGTCCGTCACGCTGTGTTATCGAGCTGACAGCAGCATCAGGAAGCTGGCGTGAGGGCCACCTCAAATTTTCCAAGCCTGAAGCCACTGTGTGCCTTTTCCTCCTCTGTGGGGACATTAGTGCTGTGTTTCAGCTGTCTGGGTCCCGTGGTGGAGAGGGACACGTGTGGGTGACATGGGGGCTCACACTGCCCATGGAGGCTTGCATGCTTCTTCCCATGCAGAGGCCTTCAGAAAGGCTGTGTAAATAACAGCAAAAAATAAATAAATAGCAAAAGGAGAAGAAGTTAAGGCAAGGGAGAAAAGGAGTACTGCGAGGGACAAGGTCCAGCACAGCGCTGGAGCATCATATAAGTGGGGCATCCACATGGAAGTGGGAGAAGCCAGCTTCAGACCTGTTACTCCCTGGACAGTGTCCATCACCTGGAAGACTGGGACAGCAGGACACTCTCCACCGCTCCAACTTTGCCTGTTGTCCCAGGATCCCACCCAGAAGGATCATGGTGGTATGGCCTAATGGTCACAGCATGCAATGGTGGACACCAAGGGAGCAGTCATCTCCAAGGGCTGGTGATGGCTTTTCCCCTGCAGTCCATAACAGTGCTGGGAGCAGGATCTGGCCTCTCCTGGAGATGTTTCCCCCCAGGTTACAGTCTGACTGTACCTTGCATGACGTCCTGGAGGACAGGGCGGTTTTGGGAAGCAGACGAAGAACCAACAACCTCTTCCAGGCAGCCTGCAGCTCTGCCTGCCTGGATGGAAGATGGAAGATGCAGTTGTTCCTTCAGGCTTGGGAAGACTGGGAATGCTGCAGCTTCCTGGGGGTGGTTTCCTCACTGGGTGTCTGCTTGTATACACAGCCTCGAGAAATGCTTAAAATTAAATTTGCTATTTCAGAGCAGGCAAAGCCCTCCTGAGATGTTTCTGGTTATTCTTTAGCTGCAACGGCTCTGCATGCTCTTAACCCTCCATGTAGCAGCCCCTGCTCCTTGAGAGCAGTGCCGAAGCTGGACCATGTATCTCATTGCCGAAAGCTCTGCAGTCTGGCAGCGTACAGCTTTCTGTGCCGTGGCATCTCTCCTGCACCCATTCGCTTCCTCCCACCCCCATAGTCTTGTGAAACAGCTTGTGGGCTCTCCCTGCATCACCCACTCTGCAAATCCAGCCTTTCAATCCTAGCAGACCGTGTCCCAGATTGGCCAAATCCATGAAGAGATCCCCACCATCTCTGACAAGCTTTGGAGCAGGAAATTTGCTCCAGATAGTCTTGTGCTGCTTCACTGCCACGTGTCCATAATTTCCTTTGAGTCAGCCAGTGAAGCTCTGAAGCCTTTCTGCCAGTGAGAAGCCCAGCGAGCCAAACACAGAGGGACAAATCCTGCCCCATGTTTGGAGATGCAGCACTCATGAGGCTGATGGGGCTGAGCAGAGCAAGGAGAGAAGCCGTGTTGCACTTCAGACCCAGCGACAGCTGCCGCCCTCCCAGCACTAAGGCAATAAATCCGGGGGATCTGGGTTTATTCTCCTCCAAATCACTTTATTATATTGTGAGTAATCACAAAGCCTTACAATGCTGCAGAGGTTCTTTAAAAAAACAAACTAACACAGCAACGGTATTTGCCAGCTTTTGCTAAGACTTATTTAGCTAGCAGCTAGTGTGAGATTACACAAGGAAATCTTGCAGTCTTCAATTGGATTGTCACACTGGGTTTTAAATTTACCACAGTGGCGCAAAGACAGTAACTTTGATGGTATGTGATCCCCGAAACATTTCATCTACGTACAGACTTACAAAATTAAACAACTTTTTTAAAAATTACATTTTCTGCCAGCAGAAAAGAATTCTCTTAAAAAGGCAAGTTCCACTAAAAAAACACCTCCTTCCTCCCAAACTGCCCTCGTCTTGCACTGCAGCTGGTTGCTGTTCCCCTCCAGATCCCTGCCTGTAGGCAGTCCCATTGCCTTTTTAAGAAAATCAATGTTTCTTGTGACTGTGAAGGCTGGTCGAGCTTTGCAAAGGCTCAGCAGAGGGGGAAAAGCCCCAGCACTGAAAGAAAGAGTTAAAATCCCACCCTAAGATCAGCAAACAAATCATTGAAGAGGAGATGGATGAAAATGTGGGGGAGGGAGGGATTTCGGTATCCAAAGTGAGGTGTTGACTGGCTTTTATGGGCTCAGCGGGTTTCAACCATCCCTGGAGACAGCTGCTTTGGGCAATAGCGTTTCCATTTGCAAAGTCCTTTGGGGGTGTGAGGACAAAGCCTGAGCTCCTCCCAGCACTCCCAAGGAGGGTTGTGGAACGGGTTTATCTCTGCATCACCTTTGCATGGACCACCCTAAACCACCTTCAGGCATTGAAGGTTGCCCTGATGCAAGGCTGGGTTTAAAGACCAAGTTGCACACCAAGCCGAGCAGGACCCTCATCCACAACATCCCCTCCCATCCCCAGGACAGAGCGTGCCAGATGTGGACCAGACCTCAGCAGACACCCCCACTGCAGGAGCTCCTAGAAGCAGGTTGAAGGCTTCACAGACGGCATTGAGTCAAGCTGTGCTGCTTTCCCCTGCTTTCTCCTATCCTGGAGAAGAATGAGGGTGCGAGGGCCTCCCCTTTGCTTTGCCAGCATTTCAGCAATGGAGGAAAAAATGAGTAAATCTCTGAGCACCAGGCTTTTTATCAGCTTTCGCTTGGCAGCCAAGGAGATGTGTGAGAGAAAGAAAAGCCACAACTCTGGAAAAAAAAAACCCAAGATCTTTCCCCTGATAGCCAAAGCGCTCCAGGGTCACAGGCGTCAGTGTTAATTCTTCCCTTGGCACGTTCTGGAGAGTGTTTTGGCACTGGAAATTGCCTCACACAAGCCCAGCTGAGTCGCAGATGTTGCATTCAGATGGGGGACGTCAGCATGGAAATAGCTTACTCTCACATCCTCTGGGTCTGCGTCTTGGTTTGATAAGGTCGTCAAGATGAGAATCCTTGTCAAGGTTTTTTTCCAGGCTTCCCCAGAAAGGGAGGAGGTGGGTTTTTTTTTTTTTGCTTGTTTGTTTTGTAAGCTAGGCTACATGATCTCTTCACTTTGCAGCTCAGTTAATTTGCTTCATTGGAGGCTGGTTCCTGGGTGAGATGCAGCTGTTGGCAGACCCCCTGCTTTCTTTGCTCTGCTGCACATCGTCTCTGAGCAATAGCTTGCTACAGTTAGAAAGACGGGAGGTTGCCAAGGTTGGACCTGAAGTGATTTGACATGAAAAGGATTGAGATGGGAAAACAGGGAGAAAATTGTGGGAAACGTTCTCAACTTACTCAATGTTCATTGCACACCTATGCAAATAACATGTAAAAAGCAGCACATTAGGAGCACCCTGTATTCAGGTTTGTCTGGAAATGTTTCTTCAAGACTGAAAGTGCATGACAGGGTACAGGGTGCTGCTAATGAAGGCAACATCCAGAAGGCACTTCTTGGGGAGTACTAATTAAAAAAAGGATGATGCGTGTGTTTGTAAGCAAGCAGCTACGGAGTCAGAACATTTTGGTGCGTGCTCTGGAGAGACAGCTTTGCTCCTACAAACATGCCCGGGGCATGAAGATTTGCTCCAGACCAGCTGTTCTGCCCTAGGACCTGCAGAGCCGCTAGGTCCCCGTTGTCCAGCATCACTGCTCTTGAGCTAACGGGCTGTATGCAGGACCTCAATGCACTGGGCAAAATCTGGAGCCTGCAGACGTTGTGGGCCAGGATTTGAGAGTTTATAAAATCCACAAACAATCAAGTATTGGCATATACAAATATATAAATTATTGACAGTTTTACAAAAGGCACACTGCAAGCCGTCTCAGTCCGACACCTGTACAAATCCCACAGCCCCCCACCCTCCCTTCCCCACCCCTTCTCCCCAGCTTTCATCACGAAACGTAAGGCGCTGCTGCTACGGACCCATGGCTGTCGTGGCAACTGAGGACCTCTTTTTTGGTCAGCCCAATTTGTCGGTGGTACTGTCCTTCTTTGATGGTCTTAAAACACTGTATGTCCTTCCCCAGGGTGATGCTTTTGATGGAAGGCAGGTATTTCAGCACAGTCTTTGGCAAGGATGACACACCTGTCCCAGAGAGGTTGAGCTCTTGTAGGGAGTTCAGACCAAAGATAACTTCAGCAGTCAGTGACTTCAGGTTGGGATTGCTGGATAAATCCAGAACTTGGAGGGCTGATAGTTCCTTGAAGCTATAAGGAGATAACTCTCCAAAGCCATGCAGACTGCTGATGGATAAATGAATCAAATCTTTCAGCCCCATGAAGTCTCCTTTCTCAATCTTGACTAGAGGGTTCCCGTCAAGATTTAAGTATCGGAGAGGAATCCCTTGAAGGTTTGGCACAGACATTAGCCTGTTTCCAGAAAGATTTAAGTTCTGGATGTTGGGGATGCTCTTTTCACGATGCCTCGTAATTGTGCTGAGCATATTATTAGATAGATCCACATTCAGGGGTTTTCCTTGACCTTTTGAAGCAAAAATGTCTATAGCTATATCCAAAAGCTTGTTATTGCTCAAATCTATGTCGCCCAGAGGAGAACTGGAGAAACAGTCCTCTGGAAGGACTTCCAGAGAGTTATGACTCAGATCCAAGGACTCCAGGTACCGAAGCCTGGAGAAGGTTGTGGAGGAAATCCTGGCAATTTTGTTGTAGCTCAGGTCAAGGCTCACCAAGGTGGTGTATCCAGGGCCAGTAAGCATTGATTCATTGATTGTTTCCAGTTTGTTTGATGATAGATCCAAGTAGGAGGTATCCAGAGGGATTGGGACAGGAACAATGTGTGAGCCTATTCCACTGCAGTCCACCTTGGTCAAGCTAAAGCTGTCAAAGAGACCAAAGCTTTCCACTTCGCAGTGGCAGCCAGGGAAGCAGGTTTTGGTGGTACCAAAACAAGGAAGGAGAAGCAACAAATTGAACCAGGCTAGGAACTGCATTGTTGACCTGGAAAACAAGACAATAAGAAAATAGATTTAATTGCTGTAGAAATTAATTTACTGAAGATGTGTAACAGTTTGAGTTGTGCAGTCTTCTCTGTCTTTCCAAAGGGATAGAATAAGTATACCCTTAAATGGCATGGATGTCCCAAACACTTTGTCTCTCATGTTGTAAACCCCACTGGAAACTTCATGGAGAAAAAAATGTTGGGTTAACAGTCTTTGCAGATATAACCAAGTTAAGACACAACTGGAAATTAGCTGTAAGAACAGTAGGCTGCCTTAAAGCAAAATCTATCCAACACGCATCCTTTTGACTGGACCATGGAAGAAGCTAAATGACAGCTCAAACCCTGAGTCATTTTGCAGCCTGGCAAACTTATCTCACAGAGGTCTTCATGTCAGGGCATCCCTGTGAGATTTGGGAACGCTAAGTTCAACCTGCATTGACAGGTTGGAGAAATCATGTAGGCTGTGTGCCCAGGGGGAGCCTTAGGTGTCTGAAACCCTGATCCTGGAAGAAAAACCCAAAGCTCCATTAAAATTTCCTATAGATAACAGAGATAACGGCATCATCAGAACATCCTTCAGCATGAACAGCTAGAAAGGCTGGCTGCCTACTGCCTGAATGGACAACACATCTCCCTTGCTTAGACTTCAGATGCAAACGTAGAAGTAGGATCATTGCTTTATGTCAACTGGCTAAAAAAGAGAGCTAAAACCAACGCTCCTCGGGCTGGTGGCAGGCAGGACAGACAACGGCCACTTGGCTCCTCACCTGCTGAAGCAGAAGAACCAAGGACTGCTCTATCTAACCCAGACTCTGCTGTGGTCGGCCCAGAGTCCCACACAGAGATCGAGTGGAGCGAGCCAATTTGTTTCACATAGAGCCTCTGGGGAGTCTTTGCTAATTACATTAAGTATTCTCTCTGATTAATGATGCTAGCAAGCAAGAAGCTCTCTCCACTCCTCTGGTTTTGACCCTCCTCCACCTAAGACATTTCTGTCCCTCCATTGTCACAGTTGAGGGAGGAAGAGAGCTGATCTGCACCTCACTGGCTTTGCTGGACCTCTTCAGATTGCATCCTAACAGCTCCTCTGCACAACTGTGGGCAACAGCAGCTGTGTGATCTCAACAGCCAGCCAAAAAACCTTTAGCTCTGCATCTCTGGAGAGGGTAAATTGGAGCGTGCCAGCATTCTGCAGGTCCGCAGAGGCAGCAAGGGCTGTCCTCATTGGTTCCCATTGCAGTCATGGGTGATGGCTCCTCATACCTTACAAACAAGGTCTCCAGGAGGCTGGCAACAAAAACTCCCACCAAACCAGGCAAGCGGATCCATCAGCACTGCTCTTCGGCTACGCTGCTGGTGATAAACAGAGACTCATGTGCCAAGCACTCATTTAACAAAAAAAAAAAAAAAAACCCAACCCAAAAACTCCTTTAAATGTGTGTTCCCATCCCCACCTCAGCCCCCCAGTCTCTGTTCTCACCTTTCCCACCACTGTTTAATAGCACTTATTAACTTCCTTGCAGTATCATCTTTCCCACACACCCTTTGATCTGGCTGAGGTGCCTTCCCCACAGCCCTTGCACCTTCCCTGGACTATTTCCTAAAAGTTCACACTTCACCTTCCCTCACCCAGCCCTTGGCAGCAGTTTCTCTCCCTTTTCAGCATGGTCTTCTTGGCCCTGCTCTCCTTTCTGGGAGACCGACCAGGGACTACTTGCCAATGTGCAAAAGAAGTGCAAAGGGTAAAAAGCGTTGCAAAAATATTGTCCTGATCACTGATATGACTTGTCTGGTGGTAACTCCCAGACCTTCTGCAAATAGAGAGCAGAAATTGGGAGTCTGGCCAAAAAGCCTACAACCAAAGCATTGCTAAAGGCCAACACACAATCCTCCAGGGTCCATTATTCTGTAGAAACAACCGAAAATCAGTAAGATGAGCCCTAATCCCAGCCCATTCGACTGTTTTTTGAGAAAACACATATGTGTGCAGACAGGACGCAGCGGGTAGAGCTCCTTCCACAGACACGTTTCCAGATATCCCTTTCCTAATGATATCAAGGCTGATCCCCTCTGGTCCTGTGCAGACAGACCAGAGCTTGCTCCCTTCTACAGTCCCTCTTAAGCAAAATACTACTTTTTTTTTTCATGAAGCTGCATTTGGAATGCATTGAAATGTTTTATTACCAGGGGAAATCGTAGCAGTGGGGAGCTCTTTGGAAACGCAAAACGCAAAAACCCAAATGTTAAGTGTCTCGTACAGGGAAGTACCTGTGTTAGTGTCAGCTCAGTCTAATGGTATTTCTTCTCCCAAATCCCACCCAGTGGCTATTCCCACTTGACATCTCAACAGGGAAAGTGCTTCCTAACTTCTCCTTTGAAAGCCCAGCTCGGTTCCTCATGGCATCCTCTTGGCTCCCGTGGGGGCTGGATCAGACCCTAGCAGGTCCAAAGACACATCAGTGTGAGACTTGGCTTTCTGAGCACTGGTAAGACCTTCATGAGCTCCTGCTGGGCCACCTACAGAAAAGCAAGAGGGCAATCTCCAAAGTCCTAGTTTAACTGAGAGAAGAATCAAAGCCAACACTGGGCTTTGATATGCAGCTGCTCAAACCCCTTTTGACATGGGAATTCCCTTCCCAATCAGCCTCAGAAATGATTGCCAGAAGTGGGCAGATAAGGTGACTCCCACTGCAACATCCATGGCTCCAGCCAGCAGCAAGCACGAAACATTACGCAGCTGAAATGCAGTACACAAAGCTCAGCTTAGGTATTTGCACAGCATCTATTGCCTCTTCCCTCCTTGCAGCACTGCCCCAAATTCTCCCTTAATGGCTCTGCAATTGCTTTGCAGATGAGATGCAATCCATTACGACTGGTTAAAAATTCCCTTATGGAGCAGCATGAAGCATTCATAGCCTAACAAGTCACTTGGCCAATAGCTCTGATAAAAGACAGGGAGAAATAAAGGTACTGGTCATCTTCCAGTCCAAGAAAGAGACTCCTGCGTTGCCAACTAAGAGCTTAGTCAGGTACAGGCATGCTTCATCATCGCATGGAGCAATCAATAGCGCTCTTTGAAATAAGGAAAGAAACATGCCGCAGGCATTTACAGTTCATCTGTGTACAGCATGCATTTGAAACCGCATCAAATTGCCTTTGGATTGCTGCCTACGAGCTGCTCTGTTGATGAAGGCAGGAAGCCAAGGTAACCCCTTGTAAAAGGAAGATGAGTTATGCTTCTGCAGCACTGGGGAGATTCACCTGGAGGAAACAGCACGGGCCAGAAACCACCAGCCCCATCACCTGTGATGGTGAAGGCAAAGCCACCCGGAGAAAACAGCCCACTGGTTCAGCCATGACCTCTTCATTTCTATGGCTGTTGTGGTGTGGAGAGATCCCAGGGATAAATTTTGGCCATCTGTCAGCTCTGGGGGGCTTGTTGTACCCACTGATTTCAACAGCAGCTGCTGGGGGTGCAGCATTATCCCCAGCTTTTCAGGTGCCCAGGGTGGCTGCAGGGCTCTGGTCTTTGTATCTTGCTCGTCCTTTCTGCATGACAAATATCCTGAGACAACCCCAAGGAGACCCAGTAGTGGGCAACGGAGCCAAGGTTGGACCAAGCTCCTAGCAGGGTGCTAGCCTTCTCCCCAAATCCCACACCTCTCCCTGAGCCTGCAGATGCGCTGATGCCTCCTCCCTGCCCTGCTCATCCCCTGCACCATCACGTGGCAGGACCTGGGTGGAAACCTCACATTGAGATTTCCCTGCCAAAAAAATGTTAAAATCTGATTTTAAAACTAGACTGCGAAGGAAACCCAGGTCTCAGCTGACAGTCGGGGAAGTGGGAGAGAGGAAAGCCCTGTTAAGGTGGTGTTGCAAATTCACTCTTCTCGCTGCACTTGATTTCCTCCCTCTCCTCTTCCTTAAAGACTTTTCTCACTAGTCTTCCCCGATCCACACCTGAGACTTTGCCACCTCGTTCCCACCCAAGGGAGATGTGCTAACACATCCCACCCTGGATGGAAGCCCATTGCTTGGGGACTGGTCCGCCCCTCAGGAATGCGGAGACGAAGAGGATGCTACCTAGGCTACCTCCAGTTGCCCTGGCAACCACCAAGCTGGAAATCCCTATAGCAAAAAATCAAGGACTAATTAAAAAATAGTACAAGGGGGAGGTGTTTGAAAGTTTGTTGTTTGATGGAGTTGGGAAATGCCCCCCCTCATTCATGCTGCACCTCTTGGCCTCCCCAAACCTGTCATTTGGCAAAGCATCAGCTGAAATCCAGCTGAAGTCAGGGCTGAAGACCCAAAGCCACCCAATGAAGCTTAAGGTACATAAGTAAGAAGTGCAGAAACCCCAGGTTGTCTCCCCGGTGGTGTGAAGAGAAAGAAATTGCCCAGAAGGGGATAAACTTAAGACCAGACCCATTCTTGGAGATGCCCCATCTCTCCATGGATGATGGTGGAGCGGGACACCTGCTCTCCTTGGGCTGCTGCTTCCCACCCCACCCCTGGCTGCAACCTCCAAACTTGAGTTCCACCCAGCAACCAGGTGCACCCAGGATGAATCAGTTCAGCTCACTCATCCAACAAAAAAATCCCTAATCTTCCTTTTCCCCCTTTGGTGGGTCAGTTTTCCAGCAAATCAGGCTGCCCAGCTGCAGGGTCACCAGCTCTGACACAGGAATGGGGAAAACAGGACCTGTCTTTTCGACAGCAGCCCACCATTAGAGCAGATCACGTATGACATCAATCCCTGCATGTCTAAGGCATGGTGGACAGATCCTGGTAATTTCCAGGTTTCTTGCCAACGTGCTGCTGGGTTAATTCTGGAGTAACAGCAAATAGAGCAACCTTTAAAGGGAAGAGGCAAAAAGGAAGGGCTGGAGTCCACCTATGTCAAACAGAGTTGCTGTTCTAGCAAAAAACGGAGGATCTGGATTAGCAACAATGTTTCATCAGAAGGAAAATTTGGGGATTGTCTTCTGTCTCTTGC